TCATATTCGCATAGTTCCATGGGATTTGAGTAATTTTTTCTAAAATATAAGAGACAAATGGCATGTATTAAAAGTTATTATTTATCACTCGGCATTCATGCATTTTTTATGGATAAGTGTTCTACACTTGTCACATATGCATTCATGTCTATTTTGATAGATGGTTCATGGTTGAGATTTATTTAAAGAAAATCTTAATGAGGAATTATATCCTCTCTCCATCTATAATAAAGGCAAGATTTAAAAACATAAAAATACCTAATGAATTTTTTATGGGAAGGAAGATAAACCTAAACTCCTAACCAGGTCCGGTCCATTGTTTATATGGACCATGTGCCAAAAATTTTTTTTTGGTAGTTATATAGTAGTATATATTAAAACTTTAGGGTATTTTTATGAATTTTACAAAAATATAAAACTTTTTTAATAATTTTACAACAATTTAAGACTTTTTTGTAAATTTTTTTTAACTAATATTGTAGGCCCCACAGTGGGACTGTGCATAAGCACTGCTTGCACTACATTAGGACCGGGCCTGCTCCTAACTAAAGATGGAGCATTCCTCTTCCACAAAATAATGGTTAAATAATAACTCACCACTACGATGAATAGAGATTTTCCGCCAACCCTCCTTTTAATTCTATTATGTGATTAAGATGGATGTTCAAAAATCTTAGGATTCATGTAAATTATGATTACATACATTTATATTATTCACATGCATATTGATTTCACTTACACATTTTTCAATTGTTTTTTTTTTAATTAGTTATGAAAATGTTGAGAATATGTTATATATTCTTATGAGAAGTGAGTTAAAGCTTTATTTCGAAAATTCTTCTAACACATGGAAATAACAAGGAACCGGAGCATGCAGATGTTTCTTTTCAACCACAAAATGGCCACTGAGAAAACTACAAAGAGTTGAACATTTTGTATACCAAGTACAAAACTAAGAATACGTCTCTTAATCTCGCTGAGTCATTCTCAATTATGGTTGTTAAATTTTGGTTAATTCATATTACCTTCGACTAGTAAAAATTATATCTATTAAATCATGACATCAAACAACATAATAAAATAGTTCCAAAATGCCGACAGCATAGCGCGGATATATATATATAGCTGTTTG